TATGTGCGTGTGTGTATGTAGTGCGGATACAAATTTTCGTCGACGATTTCGGGAACACGGATCAACCGATTTGAATAATTCAAAAAACATTCGATTCGTATTAATAAGGAGACGTGCTGATTAGTTTTTGGCGAAAGCAGGTCTAGCCGTTCCAAAGATACGGGGCAAAAAGTGCCGAAAACGGTAACTCAGTTTTTAAGAGAACGGAGCGTCCGATTTGAATATTAAAAAACATTTTACTTGTATTGACAAGATAAAGAATTGATCAAATTTTTCATGAAGGCAGGTCTAACGGTTTCGGAGATCTGATAAAAAAGTAAAAAAAAAATGCCATTTGGCGGTCAAAATGATCATTAGACATATGCACATCAAATTATCAAATATTTTATAGAGATTTTAACAATAAGTATAAATTTTTTTTTACATTTCTATGGGTTCCGTACCAATGTTTTACGCGTTGACGGCGACGCGGCGCTTACGGGCTTTGATATTTCGTCTTTATGCAGTTAAAGCAGTACGATTGCTCTGAAAAAAGTTTAGATCTTCCAAAATATGTCAAAATAAAATAAAACATTTTTTTTTTTAAAAAAAAATAAAAAAAATTTTTTTTTTAAAAAAAATTAATTTTTTTGTCCAATATATAGTTTCTCAAAAATCTTATTTTTTTTCAAAGTAAATTTTTTTCCAAAAATCTTAATCGTTTTTAAAAAAAAAATTTTGGTACGGGAAGTTCCAGCAATTTGCCTTAAGGCACGATGCCTTAATTGCCTTAAGACAGAATCCACTTACAGCTAGTTTTAAAATATATTTGAAAAATGGTAACATTTAACAATTGAAACATTAAATACGAAATTAGTTTAAATGAAATGTATGTACCTTTCCATGCGACCTTAACCTACCGACCCGCCGAAGAAAGACTTCCGCGTGCAAAAAATATGAAATAAATATGCGAATTCGATTTTAGCCATATCAAAGAAACTCTCTATACACATATATATGGTCTCTTGTACTTCTACTGCGTTATGATATGATATTTACCCCTTTTCGCCCTTTGAGTGCAATATAGAGTTATCGACGGATCGAGTTCGGACTTTGAAAAATACACTCCAACTCTAAACTCCACTCTTTTTTGTTTTGCTTCGGAGGGAAATTTTATTATAAAGTTACTGCACGCCGTATTCAAAAGATGGTGGAATAAAAATGTAATTGGTTTGTAGATTATTTTATACCATTTTAAGGAATTCAAATTCTTCGCAGATAATTTTGTAGTGGGATAAACATAGCTCCTGGTGTTCCTCAGGGAACTTAATTAAGACCTTCATACTACATTATTATATTCACAAATACTGGCAAAAACTTTTCCTATCGACATATTCGATCCCCATATCCTCAATATAATAAAACGGAAACAAATATCGAACAATCCATCCATCCATCATATTCGAATAACGTTTCGACATACGAGTGTATTATTCGAGGCCTCGGGGCGAAATGAAATCTTTCCATCATCTTTCAATTTCGAATGTCATCAGAATCGTCAAATGCGATTCGGCGGATCGGCAAATCTATTTGGAGGAAACACAAACATCGGCGACGAATTGAAATTGTAAACTTTTATCGAGAAACAAGGGGTAATAATAGGAGAAAATTGGAAAACAACGGAGGATAGTGAATAAAAATATGAGTATTTTCTACCATAAGATAAAAAATTTAATATGTACTGCTCTGAAATAAAAATAGCCAAATGAATAATATTCTGGATTTTTAATTCTCATTCCTCTTTCAGATGAAATTGATGGTGCCCCAGTCCAGTCCATAGACTTCCTCATCAAATTTGCCTCCGGATCGGTGACCCAACGTGCAGGCAAAAAGGCTGCAAAATCTTCCAAAGAAAAGACTCCAATGGTCTTGAGAAGGCCTGTGATTTGCATCTGCAATGACATATATGTACCTGCACTTAGGGCCTTGAGGCAATGCGCCTTTGTGGTCACTTTTCCTCCGACGGAAAATAGCAGGCTTGCAGAAAGGTAAAGGACAGATGGAAGTCAGATACATCTTTGGGAAAAGATTTTTCTTAAAATTAAATAGTAAAGGATAGATTCGATTACAATGTCTCGTTTAAGGTTGGACTTAATTATATTTTGTTGACCAGCGCTGTTATTTCTTTTTCGAAAGTCAGTGGATATTTAGAAGTCTTTGATGCATCTTTACTTTAACTACCGATGACTAGATTTTGCATTGATAAATTTAATAAATAATTTAATACATACTTAGAATGTTATTATTATTTATAATATCTTAGATTGATATATTGCACATTTCTTTTTACTTTATTATTTTAATATGCCTTTTCTGAATCGTTAGTTTTAAAATTATATCCTCAACGTTTTCTAAATTTTTCATTTTCATAGCTTCTATTTTTTTCTCAGGTTGCTGGAAATATCAAAAGCTCAAAATTTAAAAACAGATCTCGGTGCCTTGCTGGTTTTGGCTGATAAGACAAATTGTGATGTCAGATCCTGTTTATCAGCACTTCAATTCTTTAGGTATTAAATTATGACCCATAGAATTTTTATATGATCTATCTTGGATTTTTGAATTATTTTTTTATATGTTTTTAGTGGTCGTAAGAAGCAACTTCGCATAATGGATGTGTACAAGAGCAATATTGGTCAGAAAGATATGCAAAAGGGGATGTTTGCAGTTTGGAAAGATATTTTCCAGGTATTTATAATGAACTTAGTAATAATAACTAATATTATAATATGTGTATTTTATATACTTAAAATTAAAATTCAAAGATAATTTACCGAGCAATTCCGCCTCATAACAAGCTAGGAACGGTGCAGTTTGTCATAACATTATTCCTTGCTTGTTTACATGTAAAATACGCCTGACACACGGCAAATATATAGACTTTGCACAGTTTTTCTAGCAAGAAACAAGTATAAGATAGCGTTGCCATGACAATGCTATTCTGAGGCAGATTTGCCCGGTTAGTTATATTTTTAATAATTGGATGAGTACTTTTTTGCTCATTATTTGTGTTTCACTATCTTGTATCAAGACATTTTATTATTGTTACACTTATAATTATTGGAATTGATAACAGATTTTTAGATCAACCATTTGTATTTTTTTCCAAGTAATTTAATATACACTAATTTTTCCAAGAATATCCAAAAAAAATGGTGCAAAGTAGGGATGAAATCAAAGTCGATCTCTTGTTTATCTCATACAACAAATTTTTTATTTCTCTCTTTATAATAATTTTTTTCTGTCTTTTTCTCTCATTCTTTACACTTTTTAATTCCCTATACACTTTTTCCAAAGATTTTCTGCCTAGTATTTGTAGTAAAATCTTGCATTGGAATTCAGTATTCCTAGGACGTATTTTTATTTTATCACTTATAACTTCTAAACCATTCGTACAATTTGATTGACGTCTTCGGCAAATTTGTGCAAAATTAAATAATCTACAATATTGTCTAACATAATCAAGTCCTACAGCAACTCGGTATACTTTAAAACGCGTTTGAAAACATACAACTTTGCGTACGCCATTATTGTAACAAACTCGTATTACAGAATCGGCGAAAGCAAAGTTGTTACTATTATTTTTATTTTTTTACAGATCAGACGACCAACAAGAGGCCTAACGGACAATTCGAATAAAAATAATGTTATGAATGAAAATGAGGAACCTGATAACGAAATGAGTTTCAATGCTAGCCAGGCTGCCGATATGAGCGCAGCAACCAGGATGAAATATGTCCTGGACACTATGTATTCCGTTGGAGATTATGAAAGGTACCTTTATACATTGACACAAAGAATTCTCAATCATCACCATTAACTAATACGAGTCTTTTTTGTCTAGATTAATGCAAGGTGTCTACGAAAATTATCTATCAATGCGCCAGCCCGATCCTGATATGATTGGAGTGTGTGATGCAACCCAATGGTTTTGTTTTTGTGACCAGGTTCTTCATGTTGTGAACACGACGCAGAATTATTCTACGTACGGTTATTTGCCTTATGCGTTTGCAGCTTGGCATTTGCAGTTTGCTTCGTTGGCCTGGCAGAAAGTGCAGTTTCCTAATAAAGGATTCGAGGTTTGTGGAGATTTTTTTTTTAAATTTATGTAATACAAAATTAGTGTGATAATTTGTATTCTAATAGAATCATAATTTAATTGAATAGAAACGATTGTGTGTTTTAAGTGATTTGTGATCATTTCGGAACCAGTAAGAGTCCTTACGTCTTTGAGGATGTTCTGGTGGATATTTTAGTACTCTGGCAGATTTTTAGTCTCTAACAGTCTTCCAGAATCTTTGGTAGTCTCGCAAAGTCTTTGGTAGTCTCGCAAAGTCTTTGGTAGTCTCGCAAAGTTTTTGGGAGTCACTCAGAGTCTTTCGGAGTCACTCAGAGTCTTTGGGAGTCACTCAGAGTCTTTGGGAGTCAATCAGAGTCTTTGGGGGTCAATCAGAGTCTTTGGGAGTCACTCAGAGTCTTTGGGAGTCACTCAGAGTCTTTGGGAGTCAATCAGAGTCTTTGGGAGTCAATCAGAGTCTTTGGGCGCCTCTCAGAGTCTTTGGGAGCCTCTTAGAGTCTTTGGGAGCCTCTGAGTCTTTGGGAGCCTCCCAGAGTCTTTGGGAGCCTCCGAGAGTCTTTGGGAGTCACTCAGAGTCTTCGGGAGTCACCTCGAGTCTTTGGGAGTCACCTCGAGTCTTTGGGAGTCACCTCGAGTCTTTGGGAGTCACCTCGAGTCTTTGGGAGTCACCTCGAGTCTTTGGGAGTCACCTCGAGTCTTTGGGAGTCACCTCGAGTCTTTGGGAGTCACCTCGAGTCTTTGGGAGTCACCTCGAGTCTTTGGGAGTCCCATGGAGTTTTTTGTAGTCCCATGGAGTTTTTTGTAGTCCCATGGAGTTTTTTTGTAGTCCCATGGAGTTTTTTGTAGTCCCATGAAGTCTTTTGTAGTCCCATGGAGTCTTTTGTCGTCCCATGGAGTCTTTTGTCGTCCCATGGAGTCTTTTGTAGTCCCATGGAGTCTTTTGTAGTCCCATGGAGTCTTCTGTAGTCTCCTGGAGTCTTTTGTAGTCCTTTGGAGTCTGTTCGAGTTTCCTGGAGTCTATTCGAGTCTCCTGGAGTCTCTAGGAGTTTTATGGAGTCTCTAGGAGACTTCTAGAGTCTTCTGGAGTCTTATGAATTTTTTTACAGTTTTCTAGAGTCTTCTTAAGTTCTCTGGAGTTTTGTCTTATGGTGCCCCGTGAAGTCTTTTAGAGCCTCCTCGAGCTTTTTGGAGTCTCCCCGAGCCTTTTGGAGTCTCGCAGAGTCTTTTTCGAATCTTCCGAGTCTTTTTCGAATCTTCCGAGTCTTTTTCGAATCTTCCGAATCTTTTTCGAATCTTCCGAGTCTTTTTAGAATCTTCCGAGTCTTTTTAGAATCTTTCAAATCTTTATAGAATCTTTCAAATCTTTCTAAAGTCTCTTTAGAACCTCCTGAGACAACTCCTAACATCATGTTATCGTCTATGTTGCCTCAAATTTGGTCCCTTAGAGGTAGACATTGAGATAAAACATTGACACGAAAACCAAAGACTACACATTGATGCCAAACACTTCTAAAACCTAACCTCTATTGGCATATACGTCAGACACTTCTTTTTCAATTTAACCGCACAAGTGTGCTATCATAATTGACATCAAAAAGTTGCACTCATTATTATTTAATAAACTAGAACACGAGGCAAACATATGTATGTATGAGAATTTAGTCCAAAATCTATACTACTGGTGCAAGTATCCTCTGTCCTCTGTCCTCCTCTACATATTTTGAATTCCCCGCCAAAAACGTTTTAAGAAAATTACATTTTGCAACTTACGAACGCGAAACGAGATTAGCCCGCGCTCTGAGCAACGCTCTCGTCCGCCAGTCCTCCTGTCCTCCAGTCCTCCAGTCCTCCCGCCGTCCGCCGCCGCCAACACATATTATAACATTATGCCTTATGCCGACGGTTCAAAAGAATTTTACTCGGCGGCAACGGCAGCGGCAGCAAAGTACGTATAGTAAATGCAAAAGTAAAGTAAAGAAATTTCAATTTCATTTAATAATTATATTTCATTCCATCTCTCTGTACTACGACGAGAGAGAGAGGAAAGTGGAGTAAGGGAGTGAAATAAAATTTAAAAAAAAAGTCGGCAATTGCGCGATGGAATGCGATTAGGATGACGGTAGCGAGTTTTCTCGTTGGAAAATTAGCAGAGGCGAAACGAGGAATAGATTGTTGCAGGAACTGTTTTAAAAAGTTATCACCAGACGCATTTTACGATTTCTGTTGGAATTTTTAGAATGAAAACTATGAAACACCTACATGATATTCAAGACACCTACATGCTCATGTAGAGAGGCTACATGTCAGAGACTCTGAAAATCAGTCGGGAGCTCTCCAAGACACTCTGAAAATTCTGAAGATCCCAAAACACTCTGAAGATTCTAACTGAATATTCTAAAGACACTCTGAAGATTCTAAAGACACTCTGAAGATTCTAAAGACACTCTGAAGATTCTAAAGACACTTGGAAGATTCTGAGTCTCTTTAGAATCTTTTGTGTCTAATTAGAATTTTCTCAGGATCTTTAGAATTTTCTCACGGTCCCTTTAGAATATCCTGAGTTTCTTTAAAATATTCTGAGTCTCTTTAGAATATTCTCATGGTCTTCAGAATATTCTAATGATCTTTAGAATTTTCTCAGGGGCTTCAGATTTTTCTCAGGGGTCTTTAGAATTTCCTCAGTGGTCTTTAGATTTTTCTCACGGTCTCTTTAGAATATCCTGAGTTTCTTTAGAATATTCTGAGTTTCTTTAGAATATTCTGAGTTTCTTTAGAATATTCTGAGTCTCTTTAGAATATTCTCATGGTCTTCAGAATTTTCTCATGATCTTTAGAATTTTCTCATGATCTTTAGAATTTTCTCATGATCTTTAGAATTTTCTCATGATCTTTAGAATTTTCTCAGAGGTCTTTAGAATTTTCTCAGAGGTCTTTAGAATTTTCTCAGGGTCTTTAGAATATTCTGAATCTCTTTAGAATATTTGGAGTCACTTTATAATATTCTGAGTCCCTTTAGAATTTTCTCTGAGTCTTTAGAACTTTCTCCGAGTCTTTAGAACTTTCTCTGGGTCTTTAGAATTTTCTCAGGGTCTTTAGAATTTTCTCAAAGCTTTTAGAATTTTCCGGGTCTCTTCAGAATCTTCAGAGTCTCTTTGGAATCTTTCGAGTCTCCTTCTAAAGAGTCTCGGAAGATTTTAGATAAGCTCGAAAGATAGATTCTAGAAAGACTCTGTTGTTTCTAAAGACACTCTGTAGAATCTAAAGAAATTTGAAAATTCTAGAAAGACTCCGAAGATTCCAAAGAACCCGGAAAGTTTTGGAAGGCTCGAAATGTTCCAGAAAAGCTCTGAAAATTCCAGAAAGACTCTGAAGATTCCATAAAGTTTCTGAAGATTCTTAAAAAACTCTAAAAATTCCAAAGGCACTCTGAGAATCTGAAGACCCTTGAATAATTTTTCAAAGATAGTTATTTTGATCTCATGGCATAGTTTCTGGCTGTCTACAATTTTCGTTTTTTGAGCAAAATGTGCTTTGAGCCTCAATGTGTTTTTTTTGGTGTTACTGACTTCATTTTGGTCTAAATGCCTAGTTTTATAGCCTAAAGGACCAATTGTTGTGATAAAATAAGTATGTTATGATTCCGGACTCTTTTCTTTAATAATTCGTTTCGTTCGATACTGCACTATATCAACTTCTAAAATCTAACCTCCAAATGGCACAAACAAAAGAATATAACTTTAATTTGACTTGTGTTATCATAAGTGACACACTAGCACTTATGATAATACTGTTCAAAGCTCAAACAAAGGAAACGATTCTACCGAAAAACAGAACAATGTTATGGCACGGCCATGTTACGCTCCAACTTGCATACATTATGCTACTGAATCATATTGAATGCTGTCACAATGTCATGTATTTGCTGTGCATTCCGGGGTTTTACACATAAACTGCAACGTCACTCGTATGTTATGAACTTGAGTCAGAAAGACCCTGTTATCTAACATAGTTTATGACGTTTGTACGGTTTTTACATTACGTTTTCTATCTGAGAAATACACCTGACTGAGCAGCAACCCCATGGCTTTTGTCAATATTCAGTATGGAAAGTACTTCATAACATAGCCTTGCTATAACATTGGTCTGTTATACGGCAGAATCAGTCACAAAGTCTATCTATCAATTTTCCCCCGTTTTCCTCTAATTCGTTACCTTCGCCTAGTTCGGTAACGGGAAGAGAGAGCGCGCGCGGTCTTTTCAAATATTAATTATTCGTCGAAAGAGACGACTGAGCAAAGTAGATGAGAGAAATAAAGAAATTTAAATTAATTTCGCCATCAAAGGTGGATGCTGATGCTCTGATGTTGATGCTGATGCAGATTATGAAATTTGGGAAATTCCCCAGAAGTCTGCAGAAATGAATAAATGATATTAAAAAGCGCTCACTTTATGAATTCATTTAGATCGAGACGGGGACGGTAGATACATACATACATACATACATACATACATACATACATGCACACATACATACATACATACATATACATTTATGTATATAGAAAATTTGAATCGTTCATTTTTATACACACATATAGATAACTAGTGGTGTATGGCATCGTGCCTTAAGACAAATTGCTGTAACTTCCCGTACCGTAACGAAATGTTCGAGGAGTACATTCACTAATATTTATAAGAATTATTTTTGGCCTATAACTTACCCTACGGGAAGTTAAACACAACATTTTTGATGTTTCGGACATAGTTAGTTTCAAATCCATCATCAGGAACAAAACAAAATAATTGACTTTGTTTCACTTGAAAACTAACAATGTGGTCAGAATTCATTTTTAGTGTCAATCAATGTTTCTTTATATATTTAATTACATGCAGGGTATCCCAGAATTCAACGCCATAACGGTATAAAAGTATTGACCGTAACTTTCATATGAATTTAAAAAAATCTAATGTTTGAAAATTATGAGCTTTCAAGTGCAACCT